GTCATGCTTACATTAGCATTATAAGTATACATTAATCCTCCTTGTTCAGCTCCATTATCTATGTAAGTTGAAAAATCATCAATTAAAGTTGCATTATTTATGTTGAAAATACTTCCATTTTTAGCAAAATAACACTACTAATACCAATTTGATGTACTCATTAACTATACTCCGTCTATTATCATTATTACACTCTAAGAGTCAAAAGATATCTAAGACGGAGAAAAATCATAATACTGTAAGTACTCTCTATTAAACTTTTCAGTGGGTATTGAATCGTATTGACAATAAAATAGACTATTCGTAACTTCTATTTATATGTTACCCACTGCATATATGGCATTAGCGAATGAATAGTAGTATTTAAATGTGTCTAATTTTATTGAATTTATTCCCTCAGCATAGATTAAAGATCCCTTACTAATTCCTGTATAAATAGTTATAACATAAGTTTCCATGATAATATTAATTCCTTGACCTTTTGCATAAATCAAACCTCCATTTACTAATTTGCCAAAGTCAAAATCAATTATTTAAGGATTGAAGACTGTGAAATAAGACTATTATAAATTTATAGTGATTTAGCCTTCTTCATCTTCGGCATATATACATGTCCCATTTTTGGTCGACCAAAGAGTCCCAAAGTCTGAATTTTTGATTTCTATGAAGGAATCTCCAATGATTTCAAGTAAACCACCAAACTAAGCAATTGTCTACCTTAAATATATTTAATCAAAATGGACTTGAGAATCATCAAAATATCCTAAACCACCTCTTAAAGCAGCTAAATTTTAGTATTTTGAATTTTTATCCTCAAATTAAGAGTTTTTCGTTTGGTATATTGCTCCTTATTCAGCAATAAAACAATTACTTATTATATTTTCATTGGAGTTAATGATTGCATTTTCAAAATAAAACATACTTTTTAAGGTTATGACTTCATCTTGTAATAAAAGTAGAGCAATTTATGCGACATCATAAGATTATTCATCACTACAAGTTAACTCAACTTTATCCAGAAAAACTTAGCATTAATTCTCTGAGTTAATCTTTAAGACTTAGCCAAGGGATTATGTTTACATCTAATTTATTTTAAATTCTGAGAGTTATATTTCTTATGCAGCATCTGCTTATAAAAACGAGAAATCTGATAAAGTTATGAAATCAAGATTAACTTAGTAGAAATATATTTAAGCTTAGGGATTAAGAGAGTATATAAGTGCTTTTGTCTCGCTATCTTGATTATCGCCAAGGTTTAATTTAATAGTACTGCTCAAAATATTTACAATTGAATCTTATTCACCTTCTATAGTAATTAACCTTCCAAAAGATATGGTATCTGAGTCAACAAGTTCAATTTGATCAAATTAAATACTCCCATATTAATGAATAAAAAGAAAACTCGATCTTGATGTTCTATCAATCATGATTAGAGTATTAATAATTTGCAACTTGCAGGTTAAACATGTGATTTAAACTGGACTAATTGTCATGTTTGGACTTTAAAGTTAATTTTATTTGGAATTTACACCTCTTATCTAAGAGTTGCTAATTGTGTTTTCATTTCCCATTCCTAAATGCAATAAGGAATCAAAATCATTCTAGTTTGAAATATTGAAATAGTCCTAGTCAAATTAAGCTGATAAAGAGGTATCCTAATCAAAATAAAACATATACTTATGTTGCACTTATTAACTAACCAAAGTTTGAAAAATATGTTAAATTATTTGCTCTGGAAAATTTTGCTATATCCATTCAGTATATTAATGGTTGAAGAATTCGTAAATGTTACCAATAGACTCTACAATAAATGGTTACTATTATGAGTCATGCGCAACTAATGATGCATTGAAATAGATGATAGAACCTTAATCAGCATATATATCACCAATTTACGAGTTTAGCAATTATACTCCACCAGAGTAATAATCATTCGGATAAATATAAACTACCCCACCACTTCTATTTGTAAATATCTAATTTATGGCTGAGTCTGAAATAGTTAATTCAAGAAGTCTAGTCGATACATAGAATATTCCTCCATCCTATCCACCAACTACATTTTTGATTATAGTATTGCTGCTAACTTAAATGTTGATATTATCCTAGGATACTATTTAAAAAGGAGCACTTCCATTAGTTTGAATATTATTAATTTGAGTATTCTTAATCTACAGTGAGGCACTTGGAGTGTAAAGATTAATAATTCCTCCATTATAACTAGATTCAAACGTATTTATAAATGAGTCTATGATCTCTATATTTATACCATTTTAGAGATTAGCAAAAACTAAACCAGCATTGATTGAATTTCTTATTTCACTAAACATACATTGAATTGCATTTAAGATTAGTATCTAGCCACTCTATATTCCAATGATTGATCCCTCTGATTAATTGAAATTAAGTTTTAAAAACTATGAACTCAATAGTGTAATAGTTGCCATATATTCGAAATCAAAAGCACCAGAAATCAAATGTAAATTAGTGAAAGAATCGGTTTATATATTTTCGAAATGGCTATTTTCAATAGTTAAATTAATGCTATCAATATTTTCAATCCTAATTAAACTTCCCTATTATTCTTGGAACAAGATACTTTAGAAATCAATATCATTAAATTCAGATTGATTAAAGTAGACATCAGAAGTATTTGATGAAATCAAAGGCCTACTGCAATCTATGCATTATAAATTGGTAACTGTGAAATTGTTAAATTTTGTTTGAGATTATGCTAGCATAGATTTTATTGGTATACCGATCAAGCTTCCAGAGTTTGATAATGTGTTCTATCTAAAAGCTATATTTTCTAAATACCAATTATCATAACTGCTATTTTTTAGCTAATATGTATTATTATTTGTTTGAATTATACTTAGCAGACTGCCATCAATTAGATTTGAGTTTTAACCATCATTTTCAGCTATTTATTCTGATTAAAGCCATTGAATTGGTCCTCTCATTTACCTGAAGTTAATAGCATGAATGTTTATGATGCCTACTATATCAGTAAGAAGTATTGCCTAAGCTCTATTAATATTTGATTGAGGCTCAATCAAATAATTCGAATCAAAACTGATTGAATTTATTTAGACAAATCTAGAGCTTTAAATTCTTAGAAGCGAAGATGCTAAATCAATATCATTTTGTATGTCTGCTATTGTCTTTTCTTCATTTATTTCTTATTCTAAGTAGTCTTAACAAATATTAGTAGCAAGAGCTGTAGATTTTTATCTGAATGCATCAGTGTTTTGGTAATATCTCTCGTTTTGTATTGAGAGCTTCTTCGCATTTATTATGTTGATGATTCCATTTTATTTTGAAGCAGAATTATCAATATAGGTATTACCCTCTAATATCACACTGTAGCTTTCAAGTTCAAGATTTTCTAGTGAAATCGAATTCATTTAGATATTGTCAATTTGGTTGAACTCATTTTACTATATAAACCCATTAGCATCCTCATTCATTTAGTTATTTGTGCATTCGAATAGAATGGGACCACCTGAAATTCCCTAGAACCCAAAATTCTTTTCGAAAATATTGCCTTTAATTTCATAGCCTAGGCAAAAATCTTATATTTTATTTAATTCCTAATCATAGACATCTTATTCTTAGGTCCCTCTTGCTCGAATAAATATTGCATTACTTTAGATTACTCCAAAGTTATTGTAGAATTTGTTTGACTCAATTAATAATTTATTACTCTCACTCCTATGATTCAAGTCCAGATATAAAACACCCTTTGTGCCTGTATTTTAGATAAAGGAATTGTTTAATATGTCAACATTATAGTCACCATGATTGACTAGAGATACTAATGACCTTATTTGAATTGCAGATTTGTCTCCATAGTTTTTACTTTAAGCTAATTCTGATTAGATATTTTGTAGGATTTTCTTTGATAAATCATAGTCAAGATTGACTGCAAGATTGTTAGTGAAGTTTACATTTTAAATTAAAACTGGACCTTGAAAATT